GTTCTGCCATAGCATTTAAGAGCGGCAGTGGGAACCTTAGTGTCATCAGATGTATGGGAGCTGTTCTTTTTGCTCTGTTGTGTTGGCATCTATAGAAATCTAGGATTTCCCAGGCTTCTCAGGTCGACTCTCAGGATCCCAGGCTCATTGCTTGCAACAGAACTGCAGGCATGAGGTAAACATTGACTCCCTTGTGAAGGCCCAACTTGGACATGAAGCAAATGAGTCTAGTTTCTAGAAAATGCAGGGCCAGGGTAGGTGGCCAGTCCAGATCTTGGGATCCTGGAGAGAAGCCTCTTTTCTTTCGAGGCTGCCAGCTCCTCCACCCCGATCGGTGATTTTTTTTTTTTTTTTTGAGATGGAGTGTCGCTGTGTCGCCCAGGCTGGAGTGCAGTGGCGCGATCTCAGCTCACTGCAACCTCTGCCTCCTGAGTTCAAGCAATTCTCCTGTCTCAGCTTCCTGAGTAGCTGGGATTATAGGCATGCGCCAACATGCCTGGCTAATTTTTGTATTTTTAGTAGAGATGGCGTTTCACTGTGTTGGCTAGGCCAGTCTCAAACTCATGACCTCAGGTGATCCATCCACCTCAGCCTCCCAAAGTGCTGAGATTACAGGCTGAGCCACCGTGCCTGGCCAGTGATTTTTTTTTTTTTAAACAACCTGAATGAGCACCCAGACTCGCCATAAGGCACATGAAACATGTTCAGCCGTGGTACTCTGGGATTCTTCATTTTTGATGCAGTACAAAAGCTAATGACAGTTATAGCAGAATATTTTTTTTAAGTGTAGCATGTATTCCTGGAGCTGGACATTTCCATGTTAGAAATTGAGAAACAAGCGCTGGGCGCGGTGGCTCACGCCTGTAATCCCAGCACTTTGGGAGGCTGAGGCTGAGGATCCTGAGCTGATCACGAGGTCAGGAGATCGAGACTATCCTGGCTAACACGGTGAAACCCAGTCTCTACTGAAAATACAAAAAATTAGCCCGGCATGGTGGCAGGCACCTGTAGTCCCAGCTACTGGGGAGGCTGAGGCAGGAGAATGGGGTGAACCTGGGAGGCGGAGCTTGCAGTGAGCCGAGATTGCGCCACTGCACTCCAGCCTGGGCGACAGAGCAAGACTCCATCTCAACCCAGATGTTTGAGATTAGCCTGGCCAACGTGGTGAATCTCTGTTTCTACCAAAGACAAATAAAGTAAAACAAAACAAAAAAACAAAAATAAGCTGGGCATGGTGGTGTGAATCTGTAGTCCCAGCTGTACTCGGGAGGCTGAGGTGCAAGGATCACTTGGGCTCGGGAGGCAGAAGTTGCAGTGAGCTGAGATCACACTGCTGCACTCCAGCCTGGGCCACAGAAGGAGATCCTGTCTCAATTTAAAAAACAAAATAAGCCAGGCACAGTGGTTCACACCTATAATCCCAGGACTTTGGGAGGCAGATCACTTGAGGTCAGGAGTTTGAGACCAGCCTGGCCAACAAGGTGAAACCCTGTCTCTACTGAAAATACACAAATTAGCTCGGTGTCTTGGTGTACACCTGTAATCCCAGCTACTTGGGAGGCTGAGTCAGGAGAATCACTTGAACCCGGGAGGCGTAGGTTGCAGTGAGCCTGCAGTGAGCCAAGATTGTGCCACTGTGCTCCAGCCTGGGTGACAGAGCGAGACTCTGTCTCAAATAAATAAACAGAACAGAACAAAAACACCTCTTGGGGCTCAGTACTTCTCCCCCTGAACTGGTGCCCCCTTCAAATCTCACTGACTGTATACAAGCACCAAGAAGGATGTGATACAAATGCAGAGTCCTCAAGTGAATGCCCCGGCTGTACTGAGCAGTAGGCACTGTCACATGGCCACCCATGGAGGGCCTGTGGCCTGATGGGAGCGGGAGGGCAGCTCGGCAGCTCGCCTTGGTGTGGGCACTCACAGGGAGCTGCCACCATAGTTTCTACGAAGCTCTGGGCTCTCTGCTCTACTTTAAAAAAGAAAAGAAACATTGCAATATCAGTCACAATGGTAACAAGAGAATTTCTAAAGCATCTGGTCAGTTTCTCGAAATTGAAAAAAAAAAAAAGAAATGGTAAGAAGCCCTTGACTTGCTTTATAAACATGTGAAGACTTCGGCTAGGGCAGCGTGTCTGCTTCTGCCCTTAGGACTTCTGATCTCAGAAATGGGGTGTTTAGTTGGTTACACACACATATATGATTTTTTTGTTTGTTTGTTTGTTTGTTTTTTAGACAGAGTCTAGCTCTGTTACCTAGGCTGGAGTGCAGTGGCATGATCTCGGCTCACTGCAACCTCTGCCTCCCGGGTTCAAGCGATTCTCCAGCCACAGCCTCCCGAGGAGCTGGGATTGTAGGCATGCGCCACCACACTCAGCTAGTCTTTATATTTTTAGTAGAGACGGAGTTTCACTGTGTTGGCCAGGCTGATCTCGAACTCCTGACCTCAAGATCTGCCCACCTCAGCCTCCCGAAGTGCTGGGATTACAAGCGTGAGCCACCGTGCCCGGCCAAGAATTCTTTACCTTTCATGCTGAGGACATTTCATCCTGAAGCATAAGGCTACCTTTGATGAGTTCTGGCTCAGTTGTGGGTAATAGCTCACACTGGCTCAGTTGTGGGTAATAGCTCACACTGTGGTTGAAAAGCACTTTGCAAAATGGGAAATGCGTCTATACATGTGCTGCTGAAGAATGATCTTCACTTAGGAGTCACTCTGGAAATGAATTCCCACAAACCCCTTGCAAGAGACCTTCTTTTCCTTCCCTGGTACAGAAACCGTAATGGAGAGGTTTCCGTCCTCTTTCCTATCTGGGCCCAGATAGATTAAGAACCAAAGTTGTCCCTGGGCAGCTCCTGCCAGGCCTGCGCTGCACTGCCGTTGGCAGCACCCACTGAAGTGGGCAGTGGGTCTCACTCTCCTCACCTGGGGGACTTTGTCTCCATATTCCGAGTGGCTGGACATCAGTGCACATATTCCTACAGGCAGCTGTCCCTGAAGGCCCTGCCACCCACCTCCACCCCTCCACACCCTCACCTCCAAGGCGACCAAGAGCACCTGTTGCCAGCCCTGCCCTGCCTACTTCCTTCCTGAATGGCCCCCCAGGCGTCCCTGGTTCTAGGCCCCTGTGAGGGGTGGCCCTGCCACATCCACTTTCTTTTTTCCCAGAGCCAGTCTCTTCTGGTCCTGCGCCTTCCTCTCCCTTCTGCCCTGCATTTAATTCTGGGGAACTCGACTTCTTTTGACTCTTACGTGAAGGAAGTTTGTTCTGAGGATTCAGGCTTCATTTAGAAAAAGATTGAGGTGACCTCTTCCAGCAGCCTCAGAGCACTGATGTTATCCCCTGGCGAGAGAACCAAGGGTCCCAGAAGTGTGTTGTTGATTTTCCTTTAGTTTCTCCAGTGATATTTTGTTTATTAATTGTACTCATTTGTTTCCGAATAGGTGATTCACTCACAGGTTCAAAATGTTCACGATTCAGGAGAATATGCCGGGAAGAGCTGCCCCTCCTCCCTCGCCTCCTGGAGGCTCCAGCAGTATCTGATGCTTGTGTGTCCATCCACATTTATATCTTACAACTTTGACAGTAGAGTTTAAAACTTTGTGTTACAGAAATAGTGTGGCATCACTAAGAAAAGTAAATAAAGGAACCAGAAAGTTCCCATCACAGCAGATCCAGCTGACTCTCCCTGTCCACGTTCCCTCCTGGTCCTTGTCCTTATTCAGGCAGAATTTTTACGTGGTTGTAATCGCAGTCTCATAACTTTTTCAAATATCTTGTTCATTTATGGTGTTTGCTTAGGGTTTCCAAAACCCAGGGATGACCGGGAGAAAGTTGGGCGGCAGAATTTGAGAGATTGTTGGAGGATAACCCTGGGTCCGTATGCATTCCTCACCCTGTCCCGCTTCTTTCAGAAATACCTGCTCCCCCTCATCTTGGGCGGCCGAGAGGACAGGAAGCAGCTGGAGAGGATGGAGGCCGGTCTCTCTGAGCTGAGTGGCAGTGTGGCCCAGACAGGTAAAGATTAATGACTCCATCAAGTCACCCCTCACAGCCTTCTCCAAGCAGCCCCTTCTCTGCCCCTCCCTTCTCCCTCCGTCTCCACTCTATGTGGTGACTTCATTTATCTGCTCTGAGAATCTGTTCACATTTGCAAATGAAGCCGCCGTCATTTCGGTTTAATTTGAAATTGCTTGTTTACTGTCGGCGCGGCCTCAATTAATTATGTTTTTACGGAAAGGCTCCCAACCTCAGAATATTAATAAGGGGAATAAAATGACAGCCTTTCTAAGGGCTGTAAAGTTCATTTTTAATTTCTGCTTCTATGAGGTTTTCAGGGGGGTTTTCAGTGATTTTCCCCCTTCCCTCTAAGACTCCACTGTGGGGTCAAGAGAGTCTGTAATTACTGTGGCTCCCAGGACCCTGGCCACCTCCCCTGTTATCGACTCGACAGGGCTCACGTTCATTACCCCATGCCCCAGCAATGGCCCAGATTAGCTGGGACCTGTCGCACCAGAGGTGGCTTCTCCTCTTTATAAACTTGTTTACTAGACGGCAGCTCTGAATCTAGAAACTAGAGCGAGGCCAACGAGAGAGCCACCTGTCCCAGGCAGGAGTCTGTGTCCCTCTGGGGCACATTTGTGAAGCTCACAGAAACCCTTTCAGAAACCCTCTGATGCTGCCCATTCTACTGGCGTTTGCTCCTGCAAGGCTGACATTGGTGGCAACAGGGTCCTGAGGGGTCACAGGACACCAGGGAGTGGAACAGGCAGCCTGGGGTCAGGTGGGGAGGGCAGGAAGGAGCAGTGGGAAACAGGACTTGTGGCTTGAGCCAGTCCTGGATGTGAATGTGGCGGGGACCCGAGATGCATCTGTCTGGGCATTGGAGACTCCAGGAGTTTCACAAGGACACTGAGGCCCAGGAGATGAAGGACGCAGGCGCCAGAGAAGCCGGGAGAGCTCAGCAAATCATAGCCAGCTCTAATTAGAGGGGAGAGGTTCTGGACGGATATACTGTTGACCATGGACAACTACACAATAGAAAGATAAAGTAGAAATACTAGAGGTTAGACACAGGGCAGGCAGATCACCCAGAGTGCAGATAAATTAGATGGATTGCGGGGGGCTGGGGGTGTCTGCAGATAAATTAGATGGAGCGGGAACATGGGCAGCTCCTAGGTGCACGGACCGAGTGAGAGGAACATCTGTGCCTGTGAATTTAACCGCGCCGTGACTGCTTTCTCCTCGCAGTGACTCAGTTACAGACGACCCTCGCCTCCGTCCAGGAGCTGCTGATTCAGCAGCAGCAGAAGATCCAGGAGCTCGCCCACGAGCTGGCCGCTGCCAAGGTACCTGTCTCTGCCCTGCAGGGCCCTCCAGGCCCAGGTCTGTCCCATGTGCCCTTCACTCTTGTCCCTTGGGCCCGGCTTGCCACCTTCGGGAGCCAGACTTCGCCCCAGTCTCACGGTGGTTACACAGCCACGGCCGACGCTGCCCTTTCTCTCCTTGTAGAGACAGGAGGCCGTTGCTGGGCAGTCAGTATGACGTTTAACCGTTGAGGCTGTCCTTTCTCTCCCTCTGTCACCTCCCAACAGGAGGAAGGAAAAGCTACCCTCTGCCTGTGATATCTCATGGCAGCCATATCCCCGCAGCTCTGGAGGCTCTCTGTGTAGACGTGGGGCGGCCTCTACCTCTAAGTTAGGTTGCAGCTCAGCATGGCCAGGCGGGGTTCCGGAACAGACAGGGGAGAAGCGAGTCGCAGTCAGTTCACCAGCACCAGCCCCGTCCACACCGCAGTGCAGCGGGCAGGTTCTCTAGACTCAGGTTCCACAGGTTCCAGCAACCCTAGGGATCCAGAAGCGACTTCCGAGTCAGTGTCCTTGCCTCACTGCCCAAATGTGAAGAAATCGTGGCATGGCAGCTTTCCTGGCCCTGCCACTTGTTAGCTGCATGACCATAGGCAAGTTACTTAACCTCTCTGAGTCTTAGTTTCCTCATCTGTAAAATGGAGCCATAATGGCGCCTAATTCGTGGGGCTCTTCATGGGCTCAGGAGGGTGCCTGGCTCCAACCAACTCACAGGATTGCAGGCCTGGGTTCTGTGGGTGGGTAACAGGGGTCATCGCTGAGGCAGCGTCAGACAGACCAGGTCCAGGAGACAGTGGCCTGGTGGCTCCAGAACGCCCACTGGCTCTTCTCTCTGTCACTTGCCCCACAGCTCTGTGCCCGGTGGACAATTCTCCCGGGCTGCCCCCACAAGCTGGGCTCTGGAGAGTCCCGTCCCGAGTTGCTCGCCCAGGGCAAGCCACTCCTAGTGTACGACTTGGCTCGAGCCAGCTCTCAAATCTTTTGCATTTGCAAAAACCACGAAAATGACGGTCTTTCCATTTTCCATGGAGTCTGGGGTGTCTCTTGAAGAGAGTCCCGGGAATCTCCCCCCTGGACATCCAAACCACACACAGAGGTGCTGCCTGCCCTTCCTCCTGGGGTGGCTGCGGGTACTGGTGGCCACCTCCAGCCACCGTGCAGTGCATGTTCTCCGCGGGTGGCCGGTCCCTAAAGCACCAGGAAGCCCAGCGACGGCCCCGCCTGCTCTCCTGGGTCAGATCATCTTTTGGATCCATGGTCGGCCTGTGGCCAGAAGCCATCCCGGAAATTGGAAAACTGTTTTCAGGCCTTGCGCTTGAGATGAAGACCACATGTTGTGTTGAAGAAGCAGTGGGGGCCCGGGGTGTGCTGGGCGGTGAGAGGGGTCAGGCCCCTCAGAGTTCCTCGAGCTGGCTTTGCTGCCGCTGTCCCTGGCCCACCCCAACCTTCTCTCCCGAGCTGCAGTGGGGCCACTGGCTTGGCATCTAAACTCGCATGTGTGAGGACTTCGGTTACCCCATAAACCAAAGACCCAGAGCTGTGTTTTCTCAGCTGTAATGTAAGTTTTTATATCTGGCTTCCAAACTCCTACTGGAGCACTGTAAAAAATTAAAAAGAAGAGCTTTAAGTAATTAAAAAACCTACATAAAACTGAAGGCTATGAGTTTTCTACAACTGTTTTTTAAAGAGACTGACTAAAAAGCCCCAGATGTCAGATTTTATTTCTAAATCCTGGCATCTGGCACCATATGCGTTTGGAAATCTGAGTCCTTTGTAGGCCGGTGAGTGGAAATTGCGCCCTTGTTAATGGGCTGCTGTAGCTTTCAAGGTCTCAGAGAAGCCAGAACAGTGGCTCCTGGGCCCTCCGTGTCTGGTGGTCTGGAGTAGGAACCCTGAGGGGCTGTGTCTGAGGGTGGCGGGTGACACACACTCACTCAGACTGCCCAGGTTTTCCTTCCTGAGACCTACAGGTCCCCCAAAGGACTGCTCCCTGCTAAGGTGTGCCAGCTGGGCTGCTTGCTGCGGCGAGCCCACGGCAGCCCCCGACCCCACGTCAGGGGCCAGGCCTCTGAAAGCCAGCCCAGCGGCCCACCGCACACTGGTGGGGAACAGCCAGGGAACGTCCCCTGTGCCGGCCCAGGGGTGCAGTATCAGGAGAGCTGGCAATATTCATCTGTGCACTTAAAGACAGCCTGGGGTGGCCTTCAGCCTGGGTGAGGTAGATCTCACACAGAGGCCTCATGTGGCATTGTCCTCTGTGCACATGCCACAAGCAGGTGGCCACTGGCAGCTCCCATTTGGGGACCTCTGGTTTGGCTGTCCTCTTCCCCATCTACACCAGCAAGCTTGGCCAGAAGTGAGATGTAGTCCTGTGAAGTTTATTTGGAAAACAGTGTTACCTTCAAAGGGGAAAGTTGTGCATGGAAGGATGGGGTTTGTCAGAGATGGTGGCTGTTTCCTCTTTCCACCCTGGGCCATCTTATATCCCAGGCGTCATACCGCTTCATACCGCACCTTCACGCCTCCACATGTCTCTCAAAGATGCCCACAGTACCATTATGGCACCTAAAAACACATAATGATTCCTTAAGTCATCAGATGTCCAAACAGAGCCGTGGGAATGTTTAAGGATGTCGTCATCCAAACAGAGGCATGGCAGGCAGTGGGCAGTGGCAGAACCTTCCTCCACGTTCCCCAGAACAGACCCAGAATGCCCCACCTGCTGCCCCCACCCAGGTCCTCCTGCAGCCGCAGGCCCCGCCCGTGCCACAAGGACCCCACCCTGAGCCTTGCTCCCTGTGCTCTGCTTTCAGGCCACCACATCCACCAACTGGATCCTGGAGTCCCAGAATATCAACGAACTCAAGTCCGAAATTAACTCCTTGAAAGGACTTCTTTTAAATCGGTAGGAGGGAGGGATGGGGACCCTGTTCTGGTCAGGCCTGGAAAGGGGGACTGGGAGCTCTGGGGCATGGGAGGGGCATGACCCTCACCCCCACCCCCGAGGACCCCATCTGTCTGGGCGACTCAGGCACTGAGTCTGGGGCCTTTTGAGCTTCTCTTTTCATTCCCCAGTTGACCACCTCTCCACTCCAGAGGTGACGGTCTGTGGCACATGAGTGTTGATATACAGTTCCCAGGCCTGTCAAGACCTGGTAAGGGACAGCTTGAGCCAAAAAGCAGGGCCCTTGGAGCAGAGGAGAACCTCCTGGTTTGGCTCCTCCTCCTTCCTGAGCCCCAGGTGACCACTCAGTGACAGCTTTGTCCCAGGGAAAGCCCTTGCGGGAGGGTCTTTGTGTTTTCTACTTGGAAGGCTTCCATGACTGAAGGCATGAGTAGAAGCAGGCCCTGCCCCCCCAGCTTCTTGGTGGTCCCCCTGTTGTCCCTCTGTAGTGACAGCACATTGTCACCAATGCAGCCTCAGAGGCAGGCTGGCCCACTTGTCCTGCTTTGCCTGGGACTGTCCTGGTTTTATTTATTTTTATTTTTATTTATTTTTTGAGATGGAGTCTCGCTCTGTTGCCCAGGCTGCAGTGCAGTGGCATGACCTTGGCTCACTGCAACCTCTGCCTCCCGGGTTCAAGCCATTCTCCTGCCTCAGCCTCCCGAGTAGCTGGGACTACAGGCATCTGCCACCACTCCCGGCTAATTTTTTTATTTTTAGTAGAGGTGGGATTTTGCAGTGTTGGCCAGGCTGGTCTTGAACTCCCGAACTTAGGCGATCTGCCCACGGCCTCCCAGAGTGCTGGGATTACAGGCATGAGCCACTGTGCCTGGACTGTTCTGGTTTTTAAAACTGAAAGTCCAGTGTCTAGGAGCCACTGTGTCCTGGGAGCCGCCAATGTGGGCCGTCCTCCTGGGCTGATGCCCTAGGGTGCCTTGCATGGGCTGTCCTTGTTTCCCTGCTGGACTGGGTTTGGTGGGAGCTGGGTGAATGGGAGGGTACAGGTGGGCACTTCACTAGGGTCCAGGATGGGGTGCAGAGGGGTCTTGCGGCTCCAGTCAGAAGACCCCATTTTCCAAGCCACTCAACTTCCTGGTTCTCCCTGAGGAAAAGAAGATGTCCTAGAAAGAGGTGTGGTGCTGGCAGAGGCCAGAGCATTGTCATTAGGAGACAGTCTCCATTTTCCCTAACCGAGACCAGTGCCTTGGAGGCTGGGGATGGAGGCCAGGCCGTCGGGTAACCGTGGGGCCAAGAAAATTGCACACGGAATTTCTTGTTAGCGTTGAGGATGCTGGTGAATAAAGCAGGCTGTGGTGTGTGCCCCATTCAAGTGGGGTCTGGGGGGAGAGTTGTGTCTGAGGCCCTGCTGGGAGACAGCCCTGTGGGCAGCGCTTTGTCCTCTTGGCTCAGGCAGAGATGGGCCTGCCTGTTGGAGAGCTCTGTCTCTGAGCCGTTGCCAAGTGGACCTGACCTCCCAGGTCCCTCCTGGAACTGGCTTTGGTTTGGGCTGGCTGCTGGCCCAGGAAGGGAGTACGGAGCAGAAGGGAGAGCTGACTCTTGCCCGTTGAAAGTGTTGAGCTCAGAAGTTTTCTAGCAAAGGGCACCACCGCCGCCCTTTTGGTTCTGATGTGTCTGACCCCCTGCCAGTGGCCAGGGCTCCCTGCCTCCACCTTTTGCTCAGACCATAGACAAATTAGGACTGTGGCTCAGGTGTCTGGAGTCCCCAGTCATCGCCCTTTTGGGCTCCTCCCCACCCTGTCCCTCTCCTGGCCACTGGGGTGGAGGCAGGGACGGTGCTGAGGATCAGGAGGAAGCAAGCTCCCGAGAGGCAGCAGGCCCCACTTGGCTTCCAGCAGCTGCCCAGGCAGGTGGGCCTCGCCCAGGGGGTCCCGGGGGGACCCTGGCTGTCTGTGGGGGCGTAGGACACTCTTGGCATTTATCTCAGCTATAGGATCTTTGCTCCTGAAAGGAGGGGAGGAAGGGCTCCGTCCTGTCCCTTGCCCAGTGGCCCTTCACCATCGCCAAGGCCTTGGGGGTCAGGGAAGGCGTGGCCCTTCAAGGGTGGGAGTCCTGAATGCCGCCACCAACCTCCTCCTCTGCTTCTCCCGCCAGGAGGCAGTTCCCTCCGTCTCCATCAGCCCCAAAGATCCCCTCCTGGCAGATCCCGGTCAAGTCACCGTCACCCTCCAGCCCTGCGGCCGTGAACCACCACAGCAGCAGCGACATCTCACCCGTCAGCAACGAGTCCACGTCGTCCTCACCTGGGAAGGAGGGCCACAGCCCCGAGGGCTCCACGGTCACCTACCACCTGCTGGGCCCCCAAGAGGAAGGCGAGGGGGTGGTGGACGTCAAGGGCCAGGTGCGGATGGAGGTGCAAGGCGAGGAGGAGAAGAGGGAGGACAAGGAGGACGAGGAGGACGAGGAGGATGATGACGTGAGCCATGTGGACGAGGAGGACTGCCTGGGGGTGCAGAGGGAGGACCGCCGGGGCGGGGATGGGCAGATCAATGAGCAGGTGGAGAAGCTGCGGCGGCCTGAGGGTGCCAGCAACGAGAGTGAGCGGGACTAGGGCCGCGCCCACTGCCTCCAGCCCTGAGGACGGCGTCCAGTATGCCGGTGCGTGGCCATACCCTGCCTCCCTCTCTGGCCCTGGGAGGGCAGCTTGGAGCCCAGGTAGGGGGCAGAGCTGTCCTCAGCTGCACTGCGGCCTGGTGGCAGCGTGGGGAGTCGCACTTCTGTCCACCTGGCCTCCTCTCACCTGGCCGCCAGCCTCAGCCCCAGGCCCAGCAGCCTTTGGCTTTGATCTCAAGTCAGGCTGAAGGCAGCGAAGCCTCGGGGCTCAAGCCCCTGCCCAGCCCCCTCTCCCGGACAGACGCCTTGCCCAGGGTGTGTTTGCCGAGTGTCTTGACTACCGTGACACCACGCATGGCCAGAGCTAGCGTCCCTACTGCCTCCCGACTCCTCAGTGGAGGAGGAGCTGCGGTCCCTCTGGTGTCTGCCGTCCCCCTCCCTCCCTGGACCCGGCCCTGGACCCCGCAGGTGCCTGTCCCCAGCACCAACCCACTCATGCCCCGTCGTCCTCCCAGACAAATGAAACCATGCTGCGCTTCTGATGCCCTCGCTTGCCGTGTCATGGTTCAGCTAATCCCATGGCGAGATGGGGGCTCACTCCCTCGGAGGAGCCAGGTACCAGGGCTTTCCTGACCAACAGCCAGCTCTGTCCTTCCCCCCAAGAAACACATGTTCATTTGTGTGATCATGTATAGACCTCAGAATGGAAGATAGGACTGTATATAATTGTAATAAATACCAGTTGCCACTATTTAATTTCTGCCTGTGGCTCCCTGTCTGCTCATGGCACCCTGGGCCCCGGGGGTGGTCTCAGTGCAGCCTCAGCCAGTGAAGTGTGGGTGAGGGCCCATGGGCAGCTTCTGCCGCTGCTCAGCCAGAAGCAGAGGGCTTTGTTCAGGTCCGGTGGCTGCCGGAGGGCGACACTAGCTGACCGCAGGAGGATCAGGGACCTCGTGTGACTGGATATAGACCTTGTGTGGAGTGACGAGCTCTCCTTCCTTAAATGGACGTATGCTTCCCGGGCAGGGGAGTGTGGCATCCTCTCTGAATCCTCGTCTCCCCCAGCTCTCGCCCTCCCAGTCCCCCTTTCCCCTTCACAGAGCATTTGGCTAAAACCAGAAGAGCAGAGCCATGCACTCCTTGAGGGGCGCTCCTGTTCCCTCCAGCCCCCAGGTGTCGGGACCAGGCTCATGGGCTGCAGATGCCGTGACGTCCGTGTGCCTGTGCAGACACAAGGGCTTTGGACGCAGACACCGAGACGTCCGTGTGCCTGTGCGGACACAAGGGCTTCGGAAATAGGAAGCTCTGGGCAGCCCCTGCAGGTGTGGCCTCCATGCACCCGCCCGCCCCACCCCGCCCTTTCCTGGGGAGGGAGGAGGCCACGCAGTTGGGCTCAGAGGCTTGGTGTTGGGGCTGTTCTGTCTCAGATGTTTTGCTTTCGGCCCCTGCAGCAAACCCTTCTTAATGCTAGGAACACAGGGCCTGTTCAAGTGTCAGGTCTCCAGGCCTGGGTCGCCCCCGCCCACTGGAGAATCCCTGGGAGCAGGTCATCCCCACCCGCTGGAGGGTCCCCAGTACCGGGCCGCACCCGCCCGCTGGAGGGTCCCCAGTACCGGGCCTCACCCGCCCGCTGGAGGGTCCCCAGTACCGGGCCGCACCCGCCCGCTGGAGGGTCCCCAGTACTGGGCCGCACCCGCCCGCTGGAGGGTCCCCGGGAACAGGCCGCACCCGCCCGCTGGAGGGTCCCTAGTACCGGGCCGCACCTGCCCGCTGGAGGGTCCCCGGGAACAGGCTGCACCCACCTGCTGGAGGGTCCAACCCCAATCTGGTTTCTGGCCTGTGGGTTGCGTCTTTCATGCTTGTCACCTAGAAGGACACTCCTGCAGTTCCTGTTTACAGCCACGTGTTCCCCAGGGACAAGCAGAGCCCAGTTCAGTGTCACACTGTGGCTTGTTCTCCTTCTTTCCTGGCCTCCTTGCCGTCTCTGAAGAAGCAGGCGTCTCAGTTCCCAGGGGCTGCCACCTCACCTGGACGAGGGGGTCCTGCCTACCAGGCCCCCAGGAGTCCCAGTGTCTGGGAGCTGGGACGGGCAGACAGGTGGGCCAGGCCTCGGCCTGGCTCTGGGGACGGTGACTGCCTGTGTCCCACCCTCGGACCTGCTGGGTCGCAGGCCTGCATTG